CGAACGCACGACCTGTCACCAACGGTGCAGGTAACGGTATACCCACTCTGAACGCGCCCCAACCCCGCCAGACGCCGCAACTAAGCCTCGTTACTCCCATGGGTACCAACAAGGGACCACACGAAGGACGAAACGCACGAGCTCCCCCGCCGCTTATCATAGGAGGGCCAGGACTGTCGGCATCAGGCTCGAGCGACGCGAGCGCACACTCAAGATCGGGTAGCTTTGGCGAAGTGCAAGCAAATGGTTCTGCTTCATCATACCATGCGGCACTGGGATTCATGGGGGTCCAAAAGGCCACAGATCCCATTTCGGCAATATCCCAAGGAGGAAGTGAGGGCGCGCCTTCCATGGAGCGTGCAAACAGCAGTCAGCCTCTACCAGATCTGGATACTATGGCTCTAGAGAAGGGTCGGCCATTGGAGGTGGACGACCTAGATGACGCAGCCTGGAGAGCGGCGAGCGCACGAGGCATGATTGAAGAGAAAGGTAGTCTAGGAGAAGGCGCGGGTGGTGCTGTCACAAAATGCATACTCAAGGGCGGAAAGACTACATTCGCATTGAAGGTATGCATGGTCCCATACAGTGTGCTACGACTCAACTAATATGCATTTCAGATCATCACAACGAACCCCGATCCCGATGTCAAGAAGCAAATCGTACGAGAACTGTCTTTTAACAAGAACTGCGCCAGTGACCACATCTGCCGTTACTACGGTGCTTTCATGGACGACAGCACAGGGACGATCAGTATCGCCATGGAGTTCTGCGAAGGCGGATCGCTCGATGCAGTATACCGCGAGGTCAAGAAGCTCGGAGGCCGAACAGGCGAGAAGGTCCTTGGCAAGGTCGCTGAGGGCGTGCTGAATGGACTGACATACCTCCACTCTCATCGCATCATACATCGGGACATCAAGCCGAGCAACATCCTATTATGCCGGAATGGTCAGGTCAAGCTCTGCGATTTCGGTGTGTCCGGAGAATTCGGAACCAAGGGAGACGCCAACACTTTCATTGGAACCTCATACTACATGGCACCAGAGCGCATCACCGGGCAAAGCTACACAATCACTAGCGATGTGTGGAGTCTAGGTGTTACTCTACTCGAAGTTGCGCAGCATCGCTTCCCATTCCCTGCCGATGGAACCGAGATGAACCCCCGCGCTGGTCTTATTGATTTACTCACCTACATCGTTCGGCAACCCATTCCCAAGCTCAAGGATGAGCCCGAAAATGGCATCAAGTGGTCAGAGAACTTCAAGTACTTTATCGAGTGCTGGTATGTAACCCTCTTACATAGACATGAACCCCTACTAATTCCTACAGTCTTGAGAAGGACTGTCCTCGCAGAGCCACCCCCTGGCGAATGCTTGAACACCCGTGGATGGTCGAAATGAAATCGAAAAAGGTCAACATGGCACACTTCCTCAAAAAGGTGTGGGACTGGCAGGATTAAATGCGCTACGATCCGATTGCCAACTTCGACGCGACTCGCTGCGAACTTGCCTTTGAACATGACGTGGCACGGTGTTGTGGAACCTACACCTTCTCACTAGCCTCGAGCGGCTCAGATTGTACCTTCTATTCATACACTTGGTCACATGCTGGCCATCGGACCAAGATTACCTTTACCGAGAACAACTGTACGCGGAAACAAAACTTTTGGACTTGAAGCAGGGACTGCAACTTTGTCGATAGCCTTGAGAGTTGTTTGATTGAACGAGGATTACACCTAGTTAGGTAAAGACGCCTGGTGGACATCAGGGGCATTAACGGCGTTTGAAGGGCTCATGTCGTATACTGCGGCCTTTGCAGAAACTAGATTTAGGTACGACTGGATGTCAAGATTGCATATATGAAGACTCTATGCACGATATGAAGCACTCTGTGATCGTGAAGATAGGATGGAAGACTAGGTAGTTCGTTAGCCACTATTGGGCCGGAAAGCAAATCGTTCATCCAGTTTCAAAAGAGCGATGCTTCATCTTGCATGAGCTGTTTATAAAGTTCTATCTGCAGAACTTCGACGCGCATCCAAAACGGCCTAGCGCCAAGGTCCGGTCCGACGCAGCTCCCGGCGCCGATTGCTGCGCTCGAGGCTTGGAGTCATACCAAATAATTTACGCAGCCGCACCTCTCACTCAGCCGGTCCATTGAGCGACTAAAAGACGACAGTAGCTTCCTGTATCGCTGCCATCATCGTATACGAGTACTGCGACATTCTCCACACCCCGCCAGTCGCTCCTTCCTCCCAACTTACCCCTCCAAAGACCCCTCCATCGCACACGAGAATCACGCGAAACCCCCCAGAAGAGCCGACAGCCCGCCACAATGCCTACCATCGGTGTGGATAAGGCGGCCCTCTTCAAGGAGCTAGGTCGGGAATATACCTACCAGGAGTTCGACGACCTATGCTTCGAATTCGGTATCGAGTTGGACGAGGACACAAGCCTGAGCACCAAGCCAGAAGACCAGGCGCAACCACCACAACTCAAGATTGAGATTCCTGCAAATCGCTATGACATGCTATGTTTCGAGGGTATTGCCATGAACCTCAAGGTATTCCTTGAGAAGCAAAAGCTGCCCAAGTGGACTGTCACCGCGCCCAAGGGAGGGGAGCTTCAGGTGCTAGACATCAAGCCCGAGGTATGACGAATATGTGGAAAGTGGTAATGGGTTGGTGCTGACCGATTACTTTACAGACCAAGCAAATACGAGAGCTCTGCTCAGGTGTCATACTGCGAGGTATCAAATTCACACAAGAACGATACGACTCCTTCATCGCGTTACAAGACAAATTACACTCCAACCTGGCGCGTCAACGGACACTTGTATCTATTGGAACACACGACTTGGATACGATTCAGGGCCCCTTCTCATACGAAGCACTACCGCCAGAGCAGATTAAGTTCGTGCCCTTGAAGCAGGACAAGGAAATGAACGCGAAGGAGCTCATGGAGTTCTACGAGGTCAGTAAACATCTATCGCTATTTGAGATATCAATCTGACCCTGAACAGAAAGACAAGCATCTCGGACGCTTCCTACACATCATTCGCGACTCGCCTGTCTACCCCGTAATTTACGATGCGAACCGTACCGTCCTCTCCCTTCCGCCCATCATCAACAGCAATCACAGCAAGGTTACACTGGACACAAAGAACGTCTTCATCGAGATCACTGCGACCGACAAGACAAAGGTCGAGATTGTCAACCACATGATGGTCACCATGTTCGCTGGGTACGCAGAGTCGATCGAGCCTATCAAGATCAACTCGCCCCACAATGGAGAGTCAAGAGAGTCGCCAGATCTGTCACCGCGACAAATGCAGGTTGAGGTGGACTACCTGAACCAGGTCACTGGCCTCACCTTGTCACCCGAGGAGATCTCGAAACTCTTGTCGCGTATGGGCCATGACGTCTCACCGTCTCAATCCAACAAGAACATCCTCGACGTTTCGGTACCTGTCACAAGAGCGGACATCCTGCATCAAGCGGATATCATGGAAGATTACGCCATCGCATACGGCTTCAACAAGCTGCCGCGAGTATACCCGAACAAGACTGCTGCTGTCTCCGCGCCATTACCCATCAACAAGCTCGGTGATATCGTCCGGATAGAGTCCGCGTCATCGGGATGGACCGAAGTCATGCCTCTCATCCTCTGCTCGCATGAGGAGAACTTCGAGTGGCTGAACCGGAAAGATGATGGAAAGACAGCGGTGAAGCTTGCGAACCCCAAGACGGCGGAATACCAACTCGTCCGAACATCGCTACTACCGGGTCTGCTCAAGACAATCAACTCCAACAAGCACCATTCAGTACCGATGAAGATCTTCGAGGTTAGCGACATTGGTCTCGTCGATTTGGAGCAGGAGAGGAAGAGCAGGAACGAGCGCCACTTCGCAGCCGCATTCATGGGCAAGACAAGTGGCTTCGAACAAGTACATGGTCTGCTGGACAGGCTGATGCTCATGCTTCGGTCGGCATTCCTTACGCGCGAAGACGGACTAAAGAACGAGCAATTGCAGGGCTACTGGATAGAAGAGGTTGATGGTGAGTGGATGAGTTGCGCATCAGAGATGGCACAGACATGCTGACTGATCGTAGACCCGACCTTCCTTCCCGGCCACTCAGCGGCTATCAAGCTGAACCTCGGCGGCAAGAACCACACCATCGGTGTCTTCGGTATCTTGCACCCGAGTGTGTTGCAGAAGTTCGAATTGCCGTAAGTCTACCCTAAATCTTGTCTTAGCATGGTTTTGGTGCTGATTACCATACAGATATCCCGTGAGTACACTAGAGTTCAATCTGGAGATCTTCTTGTGAGATGCTACGCCAAGATCGCCTGCTCTCATAGTTGCCAAAACTGTTACGGCGCAATAGATACCTACAACGCATCCACAAATCAAGATGTCATGATCGAATTCCGCCCACATTGCAGCAGTACCATCTTTTGATACTCAGATCTGGTCTTCAGCGACGTGTAAACATCTCCCCATAATTTCTAGCAGTACTGACAACGGGATTGCTTCGCGTCAACAAACAACTCAAGCTGGCGCTTCCGAACGAATGTCTGAACCTTAATAGTAAAAACACGCTTATGAGCAACTGTGGTTCGTGGGGGCCGCAGCCAGCTGAGTTGAGATTATTAGGACTAGCTTCTGAGGAAGGCTTGAGGCTTGTCTCAAAGTGCATCCTTCAGCAGCTCGTTCTCGGCGCGTTTGGTCTATTTGAAATACCTGGCGCATATCGTTACCTGTAATGTCTCGGGGTTGCATGTAAGTGCGACGCGAGCAGGTACCGCGCCGCACGCGTGCAGCGGCCAATACCGTCCTGGTTCACTCCCACCATCGAACGCGAGCAATCTCACGACTTCTCTCCACTTTCGCTATAATCGCACATATCACTTTATGTTGACCCAGGAGGTAAACATTTATATTTGACTCGTTGAACTATATTTACGCGACACCAAATTCGCCTTTGCTGTTTACCTCTCAGCATGATTAGTGGCAGGTACCACGAAGTGCTCGAACGGCTCGGAAGGGCGGAACCATCAACAGCGGACGAGTGCAAAGCTGTGTTGGAGAACATTCGTGTCAACAAAGGCCATATCGACGAGGATTACCGACTGGATTTGGAGAAGCTTTCCCACGGACATCGCGACCGGACATTGTATGTTTTTGCAAAACAGCGCAAGCTTGAGGCAGCTTTCACCAAAAGGTTTGTGTCGCAGGTCAAATCATACTCATATTCTAACAACTGATGCAGCATCTCCCAGCAGCTTTACTCGTCCAAGTATCGTTTCTTGTACGAACTTGTTCAGAATGCTGATGATTCGCTGTACAACGAGGCACACCGCGCATCGGTACTACCATTCCTCCGATTCAAGATCGCGCCAGATGCTTTCATTGTGGAAACAAATGAAGATGGCTTCAGACTAGCCAACGTTGAGGCAGTGTGTGCGACTGGGGAAAGCTCGAAGAAATCGTCAGCTACAGACGATCACATCGGAGAGAAAGGCTTCGGATTCAAGTCTGTATTCTCCATTGCAGAGGACGTGCACGTTCAATCTGGACTCTGGTCATTTCGGTTTCAACATCGGCGCGGAGACGACGGTCTTGGTATGGTGACGCCTCTAGACGCCGAGCCAGTCACTCTCCCTGAGGATGTGACTACGAGAATAACTTTGCGTCTCGCGAGGGATGCGACTGCAGAGTACCAGAGTCTACTCAATGCTGTCGCAAGCATGCCTGATACAACACTCTTCTTCTTGCAGAGACTACGGAGGTTCCGTGTTCATGTTACAGACCTGGACGCCAAAGAAGCAACGACTACTTTCGAGAGAATCGCACTTGAATCTCCCCTAGATCGCGTCCTTATCAGGCGGCAGGAGGAGTTCGGTGATGAAACCACGGTCGACGAAAGCTTGTATCGATGTTTCACTCACGTCGTCGAGGATATACCAGCACACGAATATCGGGAGGGTCGCAGATCAGCGCGCGTCGAGTTGGCCTTTCCAGTGGACGCTACAACGCAACAGCCAAAGCTTAGCGAATCTGGGCATCACGTTTTCGCCTATCTACCATTGCAGCGTTTGCAACAAGTTCAGGTAAGCTCTTTTCATGTAAAGAAGAAGTATGCTAATCCATTCCGTAAGTTCCTCATCCAGTCAGATTTTATCACTTCTGCAAGCCGAGAAAGCGTCATTGATTGTACGTGGAATGAATCCATATTCCATGGTGTGGCGAAGACTTTCGCGAGGGCCGTTGAAGAGTTCACGAAAGACGATGATCCCCTAAGGTATTCTTGGCTCGACTACCTACCTGCCGGGCTACGCGACGATCGATGGAAACCAATGTGTCGACTGATTACACAAGAGCTGGCAGACAAACCTATCCTGCAGACTTGGCGACAGCGACACCTCAGAAGACCGAGAGAACTACGATTACTACGCGACAACATGCTCTATAGTGGCAAACCGATTCTGGAGGCTCTATCAGATGATGTCGACCTTGCCCCTGATTACATCCCTAAATACATCGATGAAGTTCTCTCCCTTGGGGCACGTTGGGCAGGGCTACCTCGCATGATGAAACGGCTAGAGACTGATGTTTTGACCGTCACTTCGAAATTGAGAGCCACGGAACCGCACGATGCATGGCATGTTGCATTTGCGTCTTTGTTTTTACAGGCATGGTCGACCAAAGCCCCCGAGATTGGTGTCCAAAGCAGACTGAGGAAACTGGCTTTAATACCTCTGCAGAATCGTCAGCAGTGGACAGGCGCACCAGGGCAAAGCAGCGGTGGGAGTTTGGATCATATCTACTTCTCCGATGTCGACGGCATCCATATCCCCAGCTCTATAGGATTGAATCTCCTCGATACACACGCGTCTTCAAATCCGACGCGCAAAGCCTTTTACACAGCACTCGGTGTCGAGGAGTGTTCGCATGAGTTGGTCGTGGACAGGATTAAGCAGGCACATGGCCGCGCCGACAAAGCTCCTGCTGATATACCGTCGCACCTTCGATACCTTTTCCGAGCGAATGAGGATGCTTCGCTGCTCAAAAGATGGATCTGGGTGCCGACAAGAAGCGGGCATGTGAAAGACTCTACAAAGTTATACTTCCCATCAGAAGCAGCCCATCATCTTTATCAGGCTCTTACTGGAGTTCGTCCCTCGAAATATCAGGGAATTTTGGAATTTGTTGACAAATCCCTAGTCGACTGGGAAGAAAACTCTGCGAAGGACCAGCGTGATGCGTGGGAAAAGTGGTTGGAGCAGGCGACAGGTGCCCGATACTATCCGCCTGTCGTACATGATAATGCAGAGACGTCTTTGCCAGAGCTTTCCCCAGCTTTAAGGGTAGTCGGCCAGTGGAAAACTCTTGCATTTCTAGACATGCTCAGAGAGCATTGGCGCGATTACCAAAAGGACATCTCACGCATCGAGGACCAGCTCAGGCACCTGGAAGTACCGTGCGTCGCCCAGGTTGGTGAGCCCCGGAAAGTCGAACCTCTTCAAGACACATACCTACCTACGGTAGACGTCATTGATCAAGTGCTGAACCTTGGTCTAACTTTGGGCAAGTTTCGTATACTCGATATGCCTGATTTTCGCCGAATGTCGGACAAGCTTGACAAAGATGGCCGTGGAAAGTGGCGATTTCTGGAAGAACTTGGAGTACGTAGCGAGGTAGATCTCGGATTCTACAAGCGCGCTCTTCAGGGGACCAGGTCAGTGGCTCAAGATCCTGATTTGGGGATTCTGGAGAAGATATATGCGGGCCTAGCGAAGTTCGCTACGGCAGACGATCACGACAACCTTTGGTACGTTCTATTCATTCCACGCTCTCCAACTCAGTCACAAGGCTCATTACAATAGCGAAATCTTCTCTCAGGAGCTGCTTTGGATACCTAGCAGTAGATTTTGGGTAGACAAAGCTCGATGCGTCTGGCAGGGACCAGCCTTTTTGCGATACAAGAGCGTGTTGCACTCGCCCTATGGCCATATCCCTGCATTGTCGAGATTCTTTCAAGGAACACTAGATGTACCAGATGCTACCCCCAAGGATGTTTTGGAAGAGCTGATCAAACGACGGCAAGCTACCGATCTCACAACCACTCTTTCCGTTGCAGGAGACATCTATTCATACATCCGTGATAATACAGTCCGTGACGAGGAGTGGCAGATACTGAGGTGAGTTTTCCTTGTTTAATCCCCCCGCGTGATTTTCAATTCTGTACAGCTTTGGATCGAACATACGATGTCTTCATCGTTGCCCGAGACTGAGCTCAGGTATTGGAAAGCTTCAATACATGTTAGCAGCACCACCGAAAATACTTCTTAGCCGCGATATTTGGTTCATCCTTGTATGTGCTAATAACGTTTAGGACGCAGTTCCAGCAAAACGATTTGATCTTGGGCACGAACAACACCTGGCACACCCTTGAGACGTGCGTGTGGCACAGCCGTTTCTTGCTTTCCGGATACGAAGACCTTAGCTCCATCTACCCACAATTGGAAACCTTCTTCGTGAAGCATCTCAAAGTCAAGAAAGTCACACCGACTATGGTGATCAAGGAGATATCGAAGATGGTCGGGAACAAATCGCCCGACTACGATAATATCCGAAAGCGGCTCGTCGATGTCAGCAGGATGCTGACTACTACAAAGCTTGATAAGGCAACTAAAGATTCGCTATCCGATCTTGCGGCAAGTAAGTTCTTGCCCAAAAGACTTGTTGGTGGCGGTACAACCCTCCTCAGCCGTCACGATGCCTATGCTATCCGGGATCATGCTCGATATGGCAGCGCCTTTGAGGAGCATGACATATTACTCGACTTTTCCGTTGAGGAGGTTCAGATCATGAACGTCATGTTCACGCATATCGGTGTCAAGAGGTATTATCTCTCGTCTTTGGTGATCGAGAAGTCCACGGTCGAGGAAGATAGTGAGGAAGACGATAGCCTTACGCAACAACTGCAAGTGAAAGCGTATGCTCTATATTGGTGAGTTTTTCCTCATATGGAAGCCACTCCGTGCGATCAGTCAAGCTAACTCTACACAGCTGTGCTGCGAAGTACAAGAGTGTGAAAGCTCTCCATGGAGATCGCTCACTTTTCGAGACTTTGTCAGCTGTTCGGATCTTCAGAGGCGATATCGCGACCCACCTGGTCATCGACAACAAAGACCCAGACCTTCATCTTAGTGTTCGAAGCGAGCGATCATTCATACACCATGAGAGAACGGCAGACAGTCTAAGAATCTACGTACCCAAAGGCCCGAAGCAACGTCAATCTTCCTATCGATCACAGCTTCCGAAACTGCTTGCAGACATCATGGAAGTCGACGACAGCGCACGTCATGACATCTCTGTCATCATTGGTAGCGACCTCCGAGCCTTAGACGACATCCTGATCGAGCTCGATATATCGTGCGTTTCGTGGATCACAAAGCCAGTCTTAAATCTACCCGATGATGAAGATGAGGATGAAGATGAAGATGATTCATCGTCGCCGTTTGAGCCGCGACACGTGCCGAATGCTGAAAATACAGGCACGCGAAGACGTTCTTCTCTAGTCTCAGCAACTGGGTCTGTGAACTCGTCCGAGTCAACCTTCGTCGAAGATGTGACAGCTAGCTCCAGACATGCGGCCTACAGTCCCAAAGCAAGTCGCAGCTTAGATCAGGAGCGTATTAACCGCATTCATGGGGCTCTAGGTGAAGCATTTGTGAGTCGTCGCTTCGAGTGACTCCGTATCCGCTTACTGACAGTTGCAGGTATTTGAAACGCTCACCGCTCTCAATTTGACCGACTTCACGCTCGACAATTGGCGCAGTACGATTCGCGGAGAACTCTCACGCTATCCGAAATACGCCGGCATTGCCAACTGGCAAGGTCGCGAAACAGCGGATATCGTCTACACGGATCGCGATGGTACGCTGACGCAGTGGTTGAAGGGAAGATGCACAGGTGGCTATCCTGCTAGTAGTACTGAGCGTGACTTCGCGAGGCACCCGATCGAATACTACTTCGAAGTTAAGAGCACAACAAGTGCTTGTGAGACGAGGTTCTTCCTGAGTGCGGGACAGTACAAACTCGTAAGTTGTCTAGACTTCCTTGACAAATATGTGGGATGAGTTTCGTGGGCGCATGACTGACACAACAAGCAGATGCATGAGATGGCTGTTCAAAGAGACCAGGAGGCAACCAGAATGTATGTCATTATGCGAGTGTCTTATCTTTTGTCGGACGACAAAGGATTGAATATCTACGTTGATCCTGTGCGACTGAAAGGAACATATGTTGATTTCGAAGCGGAAGGTTGGGTTGGACGAACTTTATGATGTGCTGTATGCTAGCAGAGACACTCGCTCGGTATGACAGATGAGTTCTCGCATGCGATGCCGTCACAGCCGTGTAGCAAGATCTCAAGCACCGTAGCTCTGGAAAACCATGCATAGCGCATCTCTCTTCCCAAGCGCAGTTTCTACGGCGAAGCTTTAGTTTGTGGGGAAGCCCGTAGATCATTAGTTCACGCGTGCTGACGTCACCCACTTGGCGTGTAAATCTCGACCAGAGCGGGTGTGACGGAGGCCTCACCTCCACTAATTCTGAACCACAGCGCGAGAACATTTGAAAAGAGCCGTAATATCTACGCGACTCCTACCATTCTGTGTGCATCTCGGCATCAAGCTTTACATCGCCTTCTTGACGTGCCGATTACCCGCAACTGCTCATACCGTTCCTGACGCGGCCTCAAGCCTGGATGTCATTGTGCATGCGGCGAACCAAGTTTTCAACAAATGGTTATCCGTCTATGCGGTAGTCAGGGACTTTACATTGGCTCAGTAAGTGTTTTCGCGCCGTTCAAAGCCAAGAATCCAAGCAAGCGCCTCCGAACCGGGACTTACCAGACGCTAAGAGCCCCAGACTCCGATGCCTGGGCATGTAGACCTTCTAGAAGGCTGCTAAACTTACGAGGGGCTTATTTGCACGCCAGCACGCAGCCAGCCATGACCTCAGGAGCACTTCCGACGTGTCTTTGGTATTGACACGGCTGACCTTCCACGCTGCTCACAGCTGTGCCGACATAGCCTTCTCGTCATCCACCAGCATCTATCGTTTCGTGGACGTTGATGGTGAAGATGCATCTCGCCACGAGATCTTGGTCCGATGGATGTGCTAGCATATGACGACCAAAATCGAGGTTGATATGTGCATGTTCGGTATACCAATAGTGACGCTACTCTAGATGTACCTCTCGCAGGTATATATATCGAGTTCCTCTCCCTGTATTAATACTGTCATCTCAAAGCCATTCAAGACATTAAATCTTCTACGATTGACTCGAAATAACACTTTCATCGCTTCCCGACACCCGTACTTCCTAATCCAAAATGGCTCCCCGTGCTGTGCACTTCATCCGCCACGCCGAAGGCTACCACAACGCAGAACACAATGAGAAGATCCCGGACCCCGACCTCACACCGAAAGGCAAACAACAATGCAAAAACCTCTCAGAAACGTTTCCATTCTTTGATCGCATCGACCTAGTCTGCGCAAGCCCCATCCGCCGCACAATTCAAACAGCACTCATCAGCATGGAGCCTTGGTTGCAATCCGGAAAGCGCAACATCCTCGCTCTTCCCCTAGCCCAAGAAGCTACATCTGAGCCCGCCAACACACCGAGCGATGTAAAGCGGCTTCAGAAGGAGTTCGGCGATGTATGCGACTTCCACAGGTGCCTGGACACCTACACAGATTTCAACACCAAAGAGGGCAAATGGGCACCAGGTGGCGGTTCATTGAAGGCACGCGCCTTAGAACTCCGCCGCTTCTTGCGCGACCGCGACGAGCAGGAGATCGTCGTGGTATCGCACGGCGACTTCCTGCATTACGTATCTGGGGATCTAGATGAGAACGATTGTCAGGCACATGGAGATTGGCAGAATACGGAAATGAGGAGTTATCGCTTCTTTCCGGTTGATCACGAGGATGCGCTGTTGCAAGAGACGGATGAGAGTGTCAAGTTGAGGGATGCGAGTGCGCCTGGGCAGGCGATGGGATCGGCTAAGGAGAAGACGCCGTGAGATGCGATTTGGTGAGCGGCAGTGATGGGATTGTGCAGTTTAGCGAGCTTTATCTGGAATGGACAACATTTTGACAAGATGCGCCTCATTAACAGAACCGCGTTGCGACTGCATGAGTGAATGATGGTTGTCGAAGTGCTGATGCTGAGAAAGACGGATGTTCGTTCCATGCGCAGCTGCCCCACAGCGCGGAGACGGCGAAACTTGCTACTTCCAGCGGCGCTAGCCCCGGGGGCGCTTTCCATGAACGCGTGCCATCGCGGTCTTGCAACATCACCTTTCGACTGCTCCTGGCGGCCTGATAGTATAAGATGAAGTGGCTCGCTATGAAGACCATGCTGTGTCTTCCACATGTTCCCCAACATAGCCGACATCCTCGACTCCGCACCCATTACACCCTGCACCTCCGCACCAGGTACCCCTGCATCGGAAACAATGGCTAGCGACACGATCACACACATCGTGCTCTTCAGATACCGCCAAGATATATCATGGACGGACCTAGAGAGCCACTTCAAGTCCTTCATGGCCCTACAACACAAGTCGCTCAATCCTAACACCGGCAAGCCGCTCATACAATCGCTGAAAGCCGGCAAAAACAGATCGTGGGAACCTTTCTCCAAAGGCATGACACATGGTTTCGTGCTCGAGTTTGCGAACCAGGCAGATTTGGACTACTATCTCACCACCGAGCCGGTTCATAAGGCCTTCTCCAAAGCCGCAAAGCCGCTGATCGAGGATAGCTTAGTCGTCGATATCAAAGACGGGGTGCTGTTCGGTTCTGCGGCTGAACATCCATCTGCGAAAGGAGATGGGGCCAGGAAGGGTACATGTCATTGCGAGAGTGTAAAATGGACCGCGAAGCTCGAAAATGCCGAGCACGTGCTTTGTCATTGCTCAACATGCCAGAAGCTTGGTGGTGGACCGTACTCGTGCAATCAGATCATACCGAGAGAAGGACTGCAGATCGTCTCCGGCGAGGAAAACATCAGGCAGTATCGGTACAAAGGTGCTAGTGGTATGTTCACTTTATGTTGCTGAAGGAGGAAAGGCTGACTGGGTGCAGGCAAGTTCGTGCGATGCTACTTCTGCAAGGTTTGCACGAGCCATATTTATCACCATCAAGATGTTATGCCGGACAAGATCATCGTGCGCACTTTGTTACTGGAAGGCGGTGAGGACATGCCAGCCACAGCCGAGATCTTTGGCGAGGGAAGGTTAGCCTGGGTGCAAGAGCTTTCGAAGCAGCTATGAGCGCTGGTGTTACGAGCGTGTTCTGTAAGTACGGGATAGATCATGGCGATGACGACAATACGCCAGTATCACAGAAATTGAGTTCTAGCTTGTTGATGTCTTTGACAAGCTGGGTGGGGCAGGACAAAAAGGGTTGCAAGCGTCGTAGGGATCGAGAGTGCTGCCTAATGTGGCACAGCTACTTCGTCATACACCACGAACAACTTCCTACTCCACGATATCTTCTCGAAAATCTCAACGGTGCGAAACCCATCTTTACAGTGTCGCCACAAGAGGGAGCCAAAGCGACATGTCCTCACTACTGGAACTACCTGCGGAGCTTCTTCTCGAGATACTATCTTTGTGCTCTTCCATCGACATGAAGAGGGTATGCGAGACATGCCATCAACTATATGACGTCGGCGTATGTAAAATGTTCTCATATCCTTCGCTGTGGCTGAATAGCATAGATGCCGGAGTTATATCGCGTCATTGATCTGAGTTCGCATGCCGCCTCCATTGACTGCGAACCTGTCGTGTTCGGGCCTCACCGAGTACCACCCGATTTCATTTACAGGCGCTGGAACCAAGTCGACCTTCACGCATTCGAAAGGCAATTAGAGTTCGCAAGAACAATTAAACATAACCCCGGGCTCGCTGGATATGCACGCGAGCTGCGGTGGACCGTCATGAGTCTACGGGACGGAGCCTGGGATGAAGATGTCGTGGAAGACGAAGTTGAGCGTGTTCGAGCTGAGCACCATGACTCGAGTATGAACACAGATGACGCTGGACATTATGGTATGTCTTCTGCCTGCATTTGGTGCGCGATGCGTTCTCATCATGGCAGAATTGCTTTGGCGCGTATTTTCCAGTCTTTTCGACGTTTTAAAAGTAGATATATGGATTGAGTAAGTTTCTCATCATCTATCGATTTCACCATATTAAAGAGAATAGATACGGTGATCACCTGCTACTACCACCGCCATGTTTCCCAAAGGCGACCTCGATACGACTGAGTGGTTGCATGACACGAGATCTCGTTGAGCGCTTCATGCAGAGCTCTACTGGAATACTTGAGCGATTGGAGCTGCACAACCTATTGCAATGCGAGGAGCATGAGCCTCCGTTTCCGAAGTTCAACGACGCTCAAACTCTGAAGACATACCTTGAAAATCATGGACCGGACCACCGCACCATCGCGGAAACGCAACGTATGGTAGGCGCACTTGAACCTTTCATCGGAAGATTTGCTGTCCTTACAACTTTGTGCATCGCCACATTCGGTGAAACTCACCTAGATTGTCTACCTAACGAGCGAGACGATCGACGGTTCACAGAATGGGCGAGAATGATTAGCTCGGTATGCCAAACCCTACGCTTTTTATCATTCAAACAGGGACGCGATCGAAATTTCGATGAGTGCCCCAGGGGCTCTCGTCCGGGGAGAACATATGGAGAGTATCGACCAATGGACCAGCTGTTTCGCCAATGGATCATGCCTGTTCTCCTGGCGGGTCCCTGGCCACGTATAAAGCGGATGGAGATCCGTGGTGTTGGGCGGACTGTGGAGAGCTGGTGCTCAAGTATCATGCCGGAACAGACTGATCTGGCTGTACCAGGTGTGTACCTTGATGTGAAGCAATCTCTATCGGGCCGTGGTGATGTGAAGTATGAATGTGAGGAAATTAGGATTGCGTTTCCGTACGAGAAGAGAGAGGAGCTGTCCAAGTTACTGCCGGACGGAGCGGATTTGATTGTGGAGGAAGAGCAAGAGAGAGACTATGAATTTGTTTACTAGCGTTGTGCTGAGGTTGCTAGAACTGTGCGGGGCTCAGTATGGTCATAACTTTGAACATCCTTTTCTTACTTCACTTACTCATCAGTAAAGCCACGCAATGATGCCTACGGAAAGTGATTTGTTGATGTTTAAGCCAATGGCATGTGTACAAAATCTTCAGTGTCCAGCCAGATCCCGGTTGTCCTTCGCATGTAGTGACTGCAAGCGCAATCAATGCACTGGTGTTAGGCCTTTGGCCAACTACAACTTTTCATAGCATACCGCGTGGCATCTGTTCGCCGTTGGTGCTATTCGAGTCTTTATCCTGGCCATTGTCCACTGTCCATGCGACCGTCTTCGTTATCATCATCGCATCTCCACGTTGTGTACCCTTTGTCGACGCTCTTTTGTCTTCGCCAGACATACTGGTCAGTTCCATCTCGTCCATTTCTTTGACCGTGTTGTGTGTCTTCGTGTTCCTCGTGAAGCGTTTCGAACGAGCGTCTCCTTGAGAGCCGACAGTAGGGTAGATGTATTGGCGATTGCTCGATTCGTCTGCGTTCTTGAGCGCAGGGATGCAGCAACTGAGAAGGTATTTGATCGTTGGGCCGCAGGTTCCGATGATCGCAAGACCAGACTCGATGTTCGAGAGGGTGTAGCCAACTTCGTATGTCGGATCGGCCTTGAATTGTTCCAGGACAAACACCTTGACGAGAACACTCGTACGCACCGCACCAACCACGGTGACGAGAACTCCAAACGATAAGAAAGCAATGACCATGAGCTTACGACCAAGTGGCATCTTCAGGTCGTGCAGAATCCATGAAGGCATAAGCAGGACCAGAACGTCGGTTGTGAGCACAATCGACGACGTGCTGACCGTGTAGGCGCCAGCGTCAACGCATCGCCCTTGTATACTAGCATCCCAGTATTTGGATATCGGGTTGCATTGGAAGATACAAGCGAGAGGTGCAGCAATGGCGAAACAACCATTGATGATGAGTGTTCCCCATAGACAACGATTTATCCACTTGTTTTGCGATCGGAGTTTGATGAGCGTCATCAGGAACGAGACTTTGACCAAAGCAAGAATAGGGTTGTAGATGACCGAGTTTGCATAGTTCCACTGCGAAGAAGTCAGACTCATTCGCCACATAGCGATGGTATATTTGATTGAGCGTACCTTCATCATCAGGACTGGATCAACTGCACCATCCGGTATATCGCGGGTGTGGTAGCCGTAATAGCTGGTGAGTATGTCTGCAAATCCATGTCAGCTGTATGTACAAGTATGGCTTCTACCCGTTGTGAGATATGGGTATACACACAGCCGCATGTCGTGAAAGAGAGAACGAGGTTCAGAAGCTATGTTGCGATACGTCAGTCATCTAGAGATACTCTAACGTCTTAACTTGAGGCATTATCTTACAGTTGCGACGACTAAAAGTGTATCTTCTGAAAGGATGTGTGAGTGACAGAGTTTTCTCTTCCATCAGTCAAACTCACCGATACCCAACTTCCCTCCCTTAAGCCTCAATACGACGCGAACGGACACAATGAAAACGCAACAAATGCTTGGAAAGATAGCCAAGAACAGATTGACTGGTTGCAAGCCTGTGTTCGCCATTATTGACTTGTGTAAACACAAAAATCATGCCTAAGGAAGGGCTCAAGCATGTATAACACTGGCATCGGTTAAGACGATTGCTCTCACAATGAGGATTCGGATTCCCCATTTCCTGGACGCGTCTCATCACTGCAATCCTGCTTCGCGAGACAGCAAATGAGCCTCGACTGTAGCCGGTTCTCGGGGAGCCATCCGAGAGGAGGCTCGGTAAAGTCCCTTGTGAACTCGTTGCAGCACCCAATGACGTTTTAGTCCGGACTCGGTGGCGTTCGTTGGATGTTCTGTCCCGTGTGCTTTGCTCCTCGGTGGCGATTGTGGAAAGGTGCGGTGAACAGGATGGAATCCTTCGTTCTAGCCAGTCAAGGATTATCGACAAATTGGAAGCGGCAGTGAAAGCTTCATTTTGTTCTCGGGGATTGTACCCTCCTTCCAGTGTCGTTTCCAATTCAAATACCACCAGTGCCTCGCCACAAGTTTGTCGAGGATTTACTTGGCTAGCCAACAACCCGTATTTTGGATGATCTCTACTTCCAACATTGTATATTGTCCCGAAGCTCGCGTAGTCACGACTCCGTTGTGGCACAGTCGTGTGGGGCCAGACGCGGCTGAGAACCCTTACCGAAGCCCTCTTCGCTTAGAGATGGCCAGTCCGTGAACCGCAAAGATGTGCAGATGCCGAGAACCCGAAGGTAGTTAAATGCAGACCCTAAGCAGCTTGGAAGCGATCCCATTCGCGGAGTTAACGGCACCGACCGGGCGGGCCGTAGGGGAAGGGGGAAATTGTGCGAAAGACGGCAACTACACTCGGACGTTAACTACGAGTAATGTAGATACAACAACCTGCATACTGCAAGGACCGCAACGATCTTTCCGATATCTGCCTCTCATGCATCTGCCATGTGGTTCGATGCTTGGTTCTCGAACAAATCGTCTGACCTAGCGCCCCGTGGGAGTTCATTCATTTATTAGAGACACTTCGTGTGTAGACGAGATGCAGTTCTCATCACCATCGCTTTCGCTTTTGTTGGCTTGCAGTCCTTTCGCTATGTCTGCACGTGGCTCTTTGTTCTTTCTTGCTGCGAACGCCATCGGCGCTCTTGGTAGCCCTGTCGCCGTACGTGATGTCGCACCTGCTGCCGCTACCGTCTCCACGGATTCGTCGGCTGGAGTTCCGCTGTTCCCAAAGGAGGCAGTGCAATTGACCGACGCGGCATTGAAGACAGCTGATAGCCAGACCACTGAGGTCGACGTTGCTGCTGTCTTCGGCTTCGACGGTGATGAGGATACCACGGCCGTGGCAAAGCGTGCCATCAAAAGCGGTCAATGCAAAGCTTTTCCAGGCGACTCGAAGTACCCCAAGGAGTGGATGTGGTCCATCTTCGACCTGTTACTTGGAGGAGCACTCATCAAGACGACACCCATCGCTGCGCCATGCTATGCGAATTCGGCCTGGAGTGACTATGATGAGGCAAAGTGCGCAGACATCTCAGCCAGATTCACCACATCCGATCTTCAGTAAGTGAAGTTGCCATACATCGCAGGATACAGTTCGCTGACCGTCATGATTAGTACGAGTGACCCAACTTCGATGATGTGGCCGCTCTTCCAGGGCCGTACATGCATGCCTACCGATGATCCTAGCGGCACCTGTACGCTAGGCGGCTACGCATCCTACTCAATCGACGTCAAGAATGTTGCCCAGGTGCAGCTTGGTGTCAACTTTGCTCGCAACATGAACCTCAGGCTGACCGTCAAGAACACTGGCCACGATTATATCGGGAAGTCTTCTGGCGCAGGTGCGCTCAACCTATGGACGCACAATCTCAAGGACATCCAGTTCATCAAGCAGTACAAGTCGGCTGGATACACTGGCCCAGCTTTCAAAGCTGGTGCTGGTGTCCAAGGGTTTGAGATTCTGGAAGCTGCTCGCGAACACGATGTGACTGTCATGACCGGGATCTGTGAAGTAAGTCGCCATGATATGCAACGTTTTGCAGTCGCAGCCACTAACCTTGAACGTAGACTGTTGGATGGAGTGGTGGCTATATCACCGGAGGTGGTCACTCACCTCTCGCATCCATCTACGGCATGGCCGCTGACCAAGTTCTCGCCTTTGAGGTCGTCACCGCCGACGGGCGTTTCGTTACTGCCTCTGACTCTAAGAACTCCGATCTCTTCTGGGCCCTTCGCGGAGGAGGCGGTGGAACTTTTGGTGTTGTGACTTCAGTTATCGCCAAAGCCCATCCAAGAATCCACGTTACCAAGTCTGTCTTCTCTTTCCAGGCCCCAGTCAACGACTCTGCCAACTTCTGGAAGGGCATCAACGCTTACATGAAGCGATTCCCTGAGTTCACCAACGCTGGTACCTATTCGTATTTCTGGATCTGGAACTACGGTACGACGCTCGACTTCCAGATGACTCCCTTCTTTGCGCCAAATCACACTATTGAGTCCTTCAACGCGCTTACGAAGGACTTCTTCGCCGACCTCAAGTCTTTCAACATCTCGGTAACCCCTAATACGACCTACCACGACGACTTCTACTCTGCCAACAAAGGCTCATGGGGCGCGGATACACTTGGCGTGACCACCATCCGTCAAGCTACCCGTCTCTTCCCCAAGAGCCTTTGGGCAACCGAAGAGAAATTCAACTCTTTCTACACCACTATCCAGGACACAGTGATGAATGGTCATACGGTCGGTGGTTACCACATGGCTCCAGGTAACCCTTTCCAGGTTGACAACGCTGTCAATGAGGCCTGGCGCAACACCCAGTCTTTCTTGATCACCGCTAATATGGTTCCTGAGAACGCGACGCCGGCTCAATTGAAGGAAGCATCCGACTACCTTACGTACGACATCATGGACTCGTGGCGTGCAGTCGCTCCGGCGTCTGAGGGTGGCGGTGTCTATCTCAACGAGGCAGATATCCAGGAGCCAAACTGGCAAACCGACTTCTATGGCGCAAAGCACTACCCGAAGCTGCTCGCTATCAAGAAGAGGTGGGATCCTAAGGGCGTCTTTTATGCCACCACTGCTGTTGGTAGTGAGGACTGGGAAGTCAGGGATGGCGAGCAAGGTACTCAAACCCAAAACGGTCGCTTGTGCCGTGTATAAGGCCGCAGCGTCTCATGTTTCGCCAACAAGTCTTGTAAATAATGGCTCGCGTCTGATCTGATGATCTGATACCCTAGAAACCATAGCGTCTTGAATAACAATATATCTTAGTACTAAGAACTGTCGCATGCGCGCTCTCGTTCTCTGTCTGGTTCTTAGTCGCCTCTCCAGTAGTCAATGTGTGATCGCTAACATCGGCTGTCAGCCTGTCGAAGGATGCTCATGACTTGTTGTGCCGACACTCGTTACGAGGACGGTGCTTCCTCTTTGCCCGCGCAAGGCATCCTTCGAGTACGCATCGGAGTGTTGGACGAAGCGAGGCTCTCGAATCCTTCGGGTGCCGCCGCGGAGCAGCTGCATGGACGAATTGGCGAGCGTAACTTACCGTCATAGTTGATGAGGTCTTGAACGCTCCTCATTTCCGAAGAGACGTGTTTGAGTAGCACTGGTGTTGCTTGATGCATTGAGTTGAAGCCCGGTTCTGTGATCTGTCCAAGTGTATTCCTGTGATGCTAAATGCTGAAGTTGCCTAGGGCTTTCGACTTGCCGTACGCGCAGGTGGCTTCCTCCGGGACAAGTTTCCTTGCACGGCGCACTACACGCGTTGGTAAGGCACAACACAGGGTGTGAACTGACCTACTCTTACTACTGTGAGATAGCATGATCGACTATGAGTCTGTGCCGTGTCTAATTTCGCGGCTTGTCGTGTTTCGGCGTGATTATGGATAGTGCTGCGCTTTCATGTTGTATACACATACACCCCCCGGTTCAAGTGCCTAACGTCCGTTTCAGTCAGCGAATGAACAGTCCTGGAGAGTGAAAAACTTATTGAAAAGCAATGGCCAGCGAAGATTCTGGAGTCATCATGCGCCGTTATCGAAATGCGCTGCTTTCTTTTGGGGTTGTGCTTACTATCCAACGAGTCACGACCGATTTACTCGTGGTGGTCTGTCTTGATGGCAGATGCTCGGCCGTTGTGAAAGACGTTCTCTGTGTTCCACGCCGTCAAGTCGCAACAGTGAAATCACTTGAATAAAATCATGCTGCGCTTTCAAAGAAGTGAGCGAGTCGTCGACTTGGACAGCATCTTGCAGGTCCGATCACGATGTTGATACTCGCCCCCCTGAGAACGCGTTCGTGCTTTCCCCGCCCACTAGCGCAAAACACAGACGCGTCGCAACAGACGTCATAAGGATGGGGTGGGTGATCGCAATGCCGCCCTTTCTCATTTATCTCCGTTATTACCCTCTGAATCTGCGTTTTTGCCACCCTATTGCGTTCTGACATTTGCCGCTGTATATCGTTGTTCCAACATGGCGTACATGAACCCATACCCGATGCCGACTTTGGAGAACCCAACTCCGTCCTACCCGCCTATGTCGAATCCGCCTATGTCGAACCCGCCTATGTCGAATCCGCCTATGTCGAATCCGCCTATGTCGAACCAACCTATGTCGCACCACCCTCCTTTGCCGCACACAATCATTTCGAATGCGCCCATGCCAAACCCAACTGTATTGAACCCGACTACGTCGAACCCAACTATGCCTAACCCGAGCATGCAAATCATCGATGATGACGACATAAGTTTTGAGCTTGAGAACAGGCCTGTGACGTAGAGCTGCGATGTCTTACGGTATGCGATTTTTCTCTTTGTAAGAATGTGCGCGTTGCGTGTTTCGACGACGCCATGAACATCTCCCAATTCTCCATGATCTGCGTATAGTATCTGATTTGTATGCAGGCGTAAGATACGCACCTTGATCGACAATGGCGAAATGAAAGTGGGCGAGTTCCAAAAAGCAGTTGGCATCACGCCCAATGCGTACTCGCGATTCATGAGCCAGCATGGGAAGGAGAAGGGAGTTGAGTCTTCTGTATATCCGGCAGCGTACGCGTTCTTCCAGCAGCGCGAGATGGCGGGCATCAAGACGACTGCGAACAAGAAGGGGAAGAAGAATGAATGAGTCGCGGCGAAAGATAGTGTGCCTAGTGTTGATGATGTTGAGCTGGATTTCGAGAAAGAAGATAAAGTACCAGCATACGGTAAGCTTTGGCTCCTTTACGATGTGATGTAGTCTCGTACTGACACGCTGATAGATACATGCGACGACGTCCGCCATAAGATCAACGCACACCTCAAGAAACCCGGCGTAACCCAGGCTGCATTCCTTCGCGCAGCCTCAGCGTCCTTCCACAACCCGTCCAAGACCCTCAACGCGCGCCAACTCTCTGCTTTTCGCAGCAAGAAAGGGGCGTTGAACGGCAACACATCCGGCATCTATTATGGTTCGTACGTCTACTTTGAGAAGCTACGCATCAAAGAAGGAAAGCCCAAGAGCAAGAAGAGGCAGGAGATGGAGGAGATACATTCCAAGGATGGCGAAATAGACACAAAGCATATGCAGGACCGACTTACTACCCGGGAGGGTGACCATTGGCACCATGATGCTTATGGGAGGACGATTCTCAACGGGGAGATTCTTGAGTAGAGGTTGGGCGAGTGCCCTTTGCCTTGTAATATATGTGTTCGATATGTCGTGGGAATAGAGTGGTATGTACAAGTGACGTCCAATGTGTGTGGATATCCGATGGACCCAACGCCATAAACGCCGATGCTTGATTGTGTGAAGCCGCCGAAGTAAGGTAAAGCGCTCATAGTGTGGCTGCTGCCTCAACAGCTCCAGCCAGCTTGAACGTCTTCGGACTCGAGAAAACGATCTCGACGGGGTATTTCCATTCCATGAACTTGGCCCATCCTGCACAGATGTTAGCTACCTGCCATATATCCGGTCATCTAACCTTGAAGATGACGTACCCCAGTATGCGGCCTTTCTGCCAAAGTATTTGCCCAAATATGGCACCATGACCATTGTCAACAGCAGCTCCAATTGTTGCAGCGACTCTTTCCATTCCCTATCCGCGTCTGACATGTATTCCTCCTCATCGGCTGAGGAGCTTGTTGCCGAGGATGGTAATGAATCGATCTCGTCGTTGGAGGATGGCTCGATGAAGCTCTCGCTATTGCTCAGGGACATGGCGGCGGTGGTGTCGGATCGTTGACAGGAGAGATGGTGGATGTAAGACTGGATCGGCGGACTACCGTAGCAGCATTGGCGATAGTGACGGGATCGCGACGGCTATGGCAGAGGCGCGTTCGGTGAATGGTGTCGGAGCGCTCCAGCCAATGAGCGGAGGTGGGGCTTAGCGGCAGTCAGCACGTGACGCAAATCTTGGCACTCAGCGTTCGACTCACACATGTGTTGCGGCGAACTTTAGGGTGACCGCTTGCCTAACTCTTCGACTCACCACGCCTACATATCACTACGTAGTCCGAATCGATACCAGAACATCCCCAGAACTCACTGAAGATCGAAAACACGAGTGCAACCGCAATCATGGCTGATACTGTACGTCACAGCCCCACGTTCGCTTTCGAAATATCCTGTGCCTTGAAAGTGGGCTTGCTGCATGCCAGCTGCCTAGCTGGGACTTGTTTCTACCTCCCTACAAAGAGCGACATACTAACGGACACCTACACAGGCCGATCTCCCTGACCGCAAACCCCGCAAGTCGGTCCAATTTTCCGAAGGTGCTACGATTGTCGACAGCAACGGCGACGTTACCGAATCACTAGAGATGAACGGCGACAAGGACTCCGCCGAGGGCCACGCCGCGAGTGCTGGTAAGATGGACCACATACTGGAAATACATCAGTCGCTGACAAGTGGGGCTACAGGCGACGACAAAGAGGTCGAGGAGGTCACCGACATGTTCGCTGATCTCGCAAAGAAGGTGAGGCGCAAAATACATGCGCGATTATTAACATCTTGCTAACAAGATACAGAAGAAGAAGAAGTCCTCCAAGAAGAAGGAAGGCGAGGAAGAGGACGGCGCAGAGGGCGACTTCGCCGCGCTGAAGAAGAAGAAGAAGTCCAGCAAGAAGAAGGTCGAGGACGACTTCGAGGCCAAGCTCGCTGCCGCCGGTGGAGACAAGCCCGAAGGCGAGGAGGAGGTCGCTGCTCCCGAACCCGAAGTACAAGAAGGCGACATGATGAAGGGCACCGGCATCTGGGAACACAACTCGACGACCCCCATCTCGTACAACCTCCTCCTGAACCGCTTCTTCACGCTCCTCCACGCACAACATCCCGACCTCGCCAGCTCGGGCACAAAGAGCTACAAGATCCCGCCCCCACAGTGCATGCGCGAAGGAAACAAGAAGACCGTCTTTGCCAACCTTGCCGAGATTTGCAAGCGTATGAAGCGTTCTGACGAGCACGTTGCTCAGTTCCTGTTCGCTGAATTGGGTACGAGCGGTTCGTTCGCCGACCAGAAGCGCTTGGTCATCAAGGGTCGTTTCCAGCAGAAGCAACTCGAGAACGTCCTCCGACGATACATTGTCGAATACGTTACCTGCAAGACCTGCCGCTCGCCTGACACCGATCTCTCCAAGGGTGAGAACCGTCTCAACTTCGTCACTTGCAACAGCTGCGGATCGAGACGTTCGGTACAGGCCATCAAGACTGGTTTCTCGGCCCAGATCGGAAAGAGGCGGAGAATGGTGGGTTAGAGGAATTGATCTTATGCGCTTTACGATGTTCAATGTTATGCATGGCTTGGGCTGGGGATTCTCGATCAGCGGGCGCTACGGCTGTTGCTGTTATGACGCTTTTCGGCGGTATGAACGGTCATGATGATTCAAGCAATGTCTGGGATGGTTCATGTACATTGAGATGAGTCAAAAGATACAGTCTAATAGACGTAGGAGAGAAGTTGCTCAGTACATGCGTGATATGTGATAGCTACTATACGCGCTGGCAAATAAGATGCAGACTAGCATGTGAGATATCGTGGGCGCTTAAGTCGGTCGCAGGTGGACCCTGATAGCTACGGTGCCTCCCGGAGCTCCCCTGCATCATGAGGACATGCGAACATGTTTGTTTCTGCCCGACACGAATCTCTTGGTCCAAAATAGCTGCACACGCATGAACGACTTTATGCTATTCTCTTACTCACCCGTGGCACAGGCTTGGCGCGTAGTCCAGGACGAGGATGCGGGGCGCTGATTCGGCGGCTCGAGAGACCCCGCTAGCCAGCAGCTGCGCGCTGGAGGCTGAGCAGCTTGACCAAGGAGACACCAACGGGGCGCGCGGTTAAAACGTCTATACTGCTTATGGTGCTGATGCTTCCGTAGACTAATCTAATCCCTTCTCCGCTCCTCTCCTCTCTCCTACATTGCGCGTGGTTGCTGCTAACATCCCCTTACCTTGTTCTCTGAGACCCAACTGCAGTCGCGTCAACTCGTCGCCTTAGGATCGCAAGCTTGAATATGTCAGGATACCAGGGAACTCCACCACCGGGCGGGAACTACTACCCTCGTGAGTCGCATGGCGCATTGTATGTGAAAGCAAACTGACGAGAAGTAGCACCGCCAGGTACATCTACACCTTCCACATTCGTCCCGTCATATACCGAACGCTCCTTCTCCAGCCTTCCAAAACTATAACACCGCGCCTCCTGAACATCCCTCTAACATATACCAGACCAACAGGGCCAGCAGCAGTACTATGCGCCTCCGCCAGGCGGCCAGTCCTACCCTCCACCACCCACATCCCCTCCCGCACACCAACAGCAACAGCAACACTACCCACCTCCGCCAGGTGGGAATGCCGCTCCACAACAACACTATGCGCCGCCTCCTGAGCAACAGCAATATGCGCCGCCACCCGAGCAACAGCACTTCCCGCCCCCAGGCCAAGCGCAATCGCCGCCCCCGCCTTTCCAGCAGCAGCAGCAACAGCCGCCCCAACAACAGCCACAGCAACCAATGAGCCCCGGCTTTGGTGGATTTCCTGGCGGAAGCCCGAGTGCGACTCCCTCGGGATATCCCGCCGAGAAGACGGGTCACCCAGGCATGGGCCATCAGTCGCAGATGAGCCAGCAGAGCATACCCCAGCAACCGCAGTACGTAGGCGCGGGCGCGGCAGCACACACAGCGCCCGCAAGTGCCTCAGCAGACGACGTGGGAACTTTCAATGGAGGAAGCTACCGCGTGAGCCACAGGGACACCAACTCCATTCTCACAGTGCAGTTAGCCATTGGATGTCCTTTTACTGCCAAACCAGGTGAGTCTTCCAATACAAAACCCGTACTTCGCTACTATAGGGAGTGCAAGATGCAAAGAACGAATTACTAACACAACCCCAGGCGCAATGATAGCAATGTCCCACACCATGACGCTAAAAGGCAACCTGAAGTTCTCCCTGAAGAAAGCCCTCATGGGCGGCGACATGTCCAAATCCACATACACGGGTCCCGGTGAACTTCTTCTCGCTCCCCCTTCCATTGGCGACATCACGATCATCAAGCTTGGTGGAAAGGAAACATGGTCGGTGGGTCGCGACGCGTTCCTGGCTTGCACACAGGGCATTGTGACGGAGTATAAGAGTCAGGGAATCGGCAAAGCCATGTTCAGTGGTGAGGGACTGTTTGTGTACAAGATTAGTGGTACGGGTGTGCTTTGGGTGACGAGTTTCGGCGCGATTATCAGGAAGGATGTAAGTTTCCGATCATCGATCTCCGTGTCAGATTGATAAAGTGCTAACGAGACCGAACTTTCTAGCTCGCTGCTAACGAGAAATACATCATCGACAACGGCCACCTCGTCGCGTGGAACTGCAAATACGTCCTCGAGCGTGTCGCTAGTGGTGGAATCATCAGTAACATGACGGCGGGTGAAGGCCTTGTATGCAAATTCACGGGACCGGGTACTGTTTTCATGCAGACAAGGAATGCGGCGGCGTTTGGGCAGTGGTTGGCCGCGAATGCTGCTGCGCCGTAAGGCGCATGTCAAACACGCCGTATGATGACATGGGATAGTCGAGTTGAATCATGAATCAGAACAATTGATACCACCTACCATCTACCACACTCTACAGCCACAGGACTAAACAACTCCCCCTAACCCACCCCTTACTTCGGCGCCTCCAGATTCTGCACCCCCTCCACCCTCTGCACAACCCCAAACCTCTTCCTCCCCTGATCAAAAACCGCATAAACCCCCTTCAACCACGTATCGCCCAGAATATCAAACTCGCTCTTGCCCCTCGACTGAATCCCACCATACTGCATCCCACCCCCACATTTCGCGAACCCAAGATCTTCCTTTTGGACTTCAAACACCTTGTCGCCAACCGCTAGCGCCAGCGTAGGTAAATCCGTGACTTTAGTCCCTAAGGGGAAAACCCAACCTTGGTGCGCTTTATCGAACACCGCACCAGGGATGGTACTGTATATCTTCTCGCAGAGCACGTCATCCAGCAGCGCCAGTGTAGTTCCTGTGTCTGCAATCGCCGTGTTTCCAGGTGGACGTTGGATCGTTTCGCCGTTTAGCACGGCGGTGGGCGAGGGGAACTGCTAGAACCCGCGTGAAGAGTCGATGGGGACGTAGTGGGGTTCTGAGACGCCGCAGCGGCGGAGGACGGTTTCGTCGATGTAGCCGAATGTGTAGAAGGATTCTCCGTGATCGGCGTCGGTGGTGTCGCGCCAGGAGCCGAGGTAGCAGGTGAAGAGTTCGCTGGAGGAGGGGATGTCGGATTGGGAAATCATCTAGGTGGGGGGTGTTAGTGGTTCGTGGGTTTTGAATTGAGCAATGATGGAAAGGCTAAGAAAGAGAGTTGGGCAAGATAGGGGAGAGGACTGACCGATTCAACAGGCGTAGCCACTTTCTTCGTCTTGACAGTATTGATATGTCCAAATCCTAGACCTAACAGCCCGTCTCCTGCGCCGGATGTAAACTGCGGACTGAGTTTGTTGGCGAGTTCAATCGCTTGGTTCTCGATGCATAGGCCGCCGAGGGTCACGTTGTCTGTGCCGACGATGCCGGAGGCCGTGGAGCCTGTATATCGTAGTCAGATAAGAGGTCTCCAACATTTGCCAATCATGGCTGTGAGGTCAGGTGGATGGGCAAGGTAAAGGAAGAACGCGAACTCACCATCCCCATACCTGATCCTCCAACTTGCACCCTCAACCTTCTTGAACGTCTAACTAGCCTTTGCATCAAAGACGTTGTGTTTCGTCTTTCCATTCACCGCCGCCTTCTTCGTCGCAGGATCCAGCAGGGTAGACTATACCTACATCGCAACTTGAATCAGCATCTCCACCTCCTTGACATAGCCAATTGGGAAGCGGAGAACATACCCAAAGATCACTGCTCCCAGTATCAAAATGCAAATTCATCACCTGCGGCGGCGTTCCAATCTCCACCGGACAAATATACAACGCATCATTCTGCTGGTCTTCCGCTTTGACCTCGCCCGGTTTGCCCTCCTCTTCAATCTTGCGCAGAACCGGTTTCGTTTCTTTTTTAGCCGCGGGTTTGAACAGGTTCTTTACGGATTTCGTGGCGACGTCGAGGACTTGGAAGGGCCCTTCGGTGGTGGGCGCGAAGTCGTATTTGCGGAGGAGGGAGGCGTAGGATTTTAGGCCGGCGCGTTCGCAGGTGGGATTGGGGAGGATGGATATGCGTTTTAGGTTTGACATTTTTGGAGGTGGAGGTGGGTGGTTGGAAGGTTGGGGGTTTGGATTGTGGTGAGACAAGAGAGATATATGGTAAAAAGGTGGTATATAGGTTGGTCAAGATGAGTCGCTTTTAGGGTGTAGCAATAGTATTAGAGTTGTTTTGAGGAACGAGGAGAGGATAGAGAGGTGGGTGATGACAGTTGTAGCCATGCGCCAACCACCTGCCGGTCTCACAATGCGCAGCAGGAACGTGCGGTGGACCACGACTGGCTCTTGCTCAAAGTGTGCCCTGAACATTTCTTTCCAATTACAGCGTCTATGCTTAATCAAAAGTAGTCTTCTTGCCCTGCGACTCAACAATCGCTTGACTCGCCCTCTGGGTACTCATATGAGCAGCTCCACTCTTGATATTCCTCGGGTCGACCTTTCGCTTGCCACCCCGTCCGCCATTGCTGTCTCCAAAGTCTTGCCTGTCTCCTCTTTGACCTCCTCCTCTGCCGAAGCCCCTCTCGCGATCTGCATTCTCTCCATCCGCGCCCTCCTTCTCATGGCCAAATCGCTTGTGATACCTCGTATGGTTGTCTTCGGCGAACTCGCGACGCAATTCTCTCCCCATGAGCTTGTTGACTAGCCATTTCCTTTGCTTTACGGGCTTGCTGGTGTCGACTTCGGAATCGCTCTCGTCCTTGTCCTTCTTGTTCTTGAACGCAGACGGGTCTTTGAAGACAAATCCCTTGACTGCTGCCGTCGCAGCTTCCACGTCCCTGAAGGTGACCCAAGCAAATCCCTTGCATTTGCCAGAATCCTCAAACGTTGCCATGTGTATGTTGTCGATTCTTCCACATGGTGCGTAGTGGTTCTTGAGATCCTCCTGGGTAACGTCGAAGGAGAGGTTTCCGACGAACACGCGCTTGTTAGGAGGGTTCTTCGGTTTCGCATCCTTGGCGCCACGTCCGTTATCCTGAATTTCTTCAGTCTTGGGCTTGTCTGGCCGCCCGTCGAAGCTCTTTGCATTCTTGATCAGCAGCGCGCGGTTGTCCATCTTCATTTCCGTCAGGGCAATCGCAGAGTACATCGACAACTCAGTAGAGAAGTCGACGTATGCGAAACCCTTGTTCATCGGTTTTGTAGTCCAACTCGGGGGTGGCGGTCTCGTGGGAGGGGGCATGTGAATGCGAGTGATTTGGTCGTCGGGAATTTCAGTGTTGTCCGTCAAGAACTTTCGTAGCGACTCCTTGGTGGCAGACCAAGGCAAGTTGCCGATCCATACACCGTATTCCGAGCGCTTCGCGGCATTCTCCCTGTCTTCAGCTGAATTTGCGTCCGTCTTCGCATCCGTCTTCGCGACCGATGCTTCTCCGTCTGCGTCGGCGGCGGGTGTCGGATTCAGCTTGGCTTTCTTTGCTTTACGAGCGGCTTTCTTGGAGGCAGGTTCGGGGAGGTTGACATCGATCTCGAGTTCGTCAGGCAATGCTTCGCGCTTGCGCTTCTTTGCGGGTGTCTCTGCTGCATCCTCGCTATCGGACTCTGCAGCTTCAGCCTTCGACTCGGCCCTCGCGCGCCTCTTTTCTTTCTTTTCCTTTTTGTCCTTTTTCTCCTTCTTGTCGCGACGCTCCTTCTTGGAGACAATAGCAATCTCTTCCGCCGAGGACATCTCTGTATCTGACGACATTGTAGCGTGGGTGGTGTTGCGTATAGATACTTTGCGGCTCGAACTTTTTTCTGGGGCACTTTTCGCTAGCATGGCCGCGCTAGAAGACCCTGGCTTAGTCACTCTCCGCCCGTACACCACCAAGATCCAGTACATGAGTTGCGCTTTAATCGGGCTTTGCATGCGTCACAGTGTTACGAAAGAGGTGTTCAAGAAAACTACCATTGATTTACTACACATATAGAAGACATGAAGGGAAAGATCAAATTGAGCCAAGTAGGAGAGCCGTAACCGAGCCAGAGGCAATGAAGCACCCTACTCACATGTCCCGTCGAGGTGTATGGAAGCGCGCTCCAGCGCCTTCTCTGTATAGGGAATGTTGTGTGATCGCAATATCTCGCAGTCCATTCCTTTTGACGCCCCCAGTACCCAGAAATTCGAACGCTTTAGACACCAACCAGGAACACTTTGCCTACCTTTGTGCTCAGGAAATATGGCAGCTTTCGCTGACACCTATCAAACCACCTACTGCATCTCTTCGTCGCTAGCATCGAGGATGTCGTACTCCTCATCGGTCATGAAGCCATCGTCGGACATAAGGGCGACACTCTCAGCATCCTCAAAGAACTCGTCATCTGAAGCCACGGTGACAGTGCGTGCAACGGTGCTCTTCTCAGATGGAGAGGCGGGCTGAGCTGTGGTAGATGACTCGTAAGTGCTGGACGCGGGAGACTCCTTGTCAAGCTGAGGGAAGATCATGCCGGAAGCGATGGGCTCAGATGCAGACTGCTTCTCTTCGACTGGGAGTTCGGCAACTGGCTCTTCAACCTTGACCTCCTCCTTGGGAGAAAGTACCGGCTCCTGCTTGATAGTGGCAAGGGCAGCCTCGTGTTCCTTGCGACGGTTGGCTTCCTCGTGCACCTTGCGGCGACCCTCCATGAGACGCTCCATGGCCGCCTTGCGTACACGCTGAACACGCTCCATCTTCTGTTGATCCAGCTGTTGCTGCAGAGAGTGATGCGCATCCTTCATCTTCTGCAGTTGTTGTTGCTGAGTGTGTTGCATCTGCTTCATCCGCTCAGCCCTGGCCTGTAGGAGGCGGTCATACAGAGGGTTTGACCTAGGAGCCACCTCAAATGTGGTAGCTGAGCCCGAGGCAGGAGTAGGGACCTGGACTGGCATGGGGATAGCTGGCTGAGCAGCGACAGGCGAGGGCACGCCGACGACTGCAATGTCACACCACAGGCGATGACCGAAGGGCATACCCTCGGGGGTCTTCAGGCGCCAGTAGGAGATAGCAGTGCCCTCGCGCTGGGGTGCCTTCATGAGAACACGGAACTGTGCTTCCTCGCCGGCCTCAACAGTGTGGCCGAGCACGTTGCTCTCACTAGCTTCAGCAAGCTCAACGTGGCTCAGAGGACGGGTGTTGTCGATGTTGAGCATGTTGTCACCACCAACGTGTCGGACGCTGCAGCCTCGTGGCCAAGCGTTGGGGCCAGGGTTGCGAAGAGTCCAGACCTGAACGAACTGGTGGCCAGCACATATCTTGGAGCCATCAATGATGGTGTCCCGGATGAAATGCGCATCGAGGCCCTCGGTAGCGGTCTCTGACCTAGGGATGGGAATAGCCTCAGTCTTAACCGGCGCCTTCACCTGAACGGGTGCGGCAGGCTTCTCTTGCACCGGCTCTACAGAGTCGACGAGGAGATCACGAATAGCAATCTTCTCCTTCTTGGCCTGGGGCTCGGCCGAGGGCTTCACGTCGACAATGGTCTGGACCTGGGTCGCAGCATTGGTGGAAGGAGCGACTGGGGCAGTCTCGGTTGAGGTAGATCGCCTATCGCACATGCGGTCGCCGAGTCTAGCCATCGACTTGCGCTGCTTGTCGTCGTTGAGTGTAGTAACGCTAACGCTGCGCACAGGCGTCTGGAACTTGATCAGCGGGTGGGTGTGGTTGTGCTTGTTGCTGGGATGGGCCTCGCAGTTCTGGCAGAAGTCGGTGTCGTGGCAAACAGCACACTTGTAGCGGACGCCATCAATGTATGACAGGTTCTCCTTGTCCTTGCAGAGGGGACCGTCACAGTAGATACCGTAGTGGCGGTTTGCGCTGTTCAGAGGCTCGGCCAAAGGCTCGTAGATGGGAACAAAGCGATGACGGGGGTGGATGAACTTGGCGTTCTTGAGGCAGTCAGAGCAGTAGTCCCAGTCTGGACAGTTCAAGCACTTGTGGCGGACACCGTAGATGAACTTGTCGCAACCATCGCAGACGGCGTTGTGACGGACGTTCCTGCCAGAGTTGCACAAGAAATCGGCCAGGGTAGGCAGGACAGTCTCGGACGTGGCGGGCTTGAAGGTGTGGCCAGGGTGGTGACCGTGCTTGTTGCTAACATGGCAAGTGAGGCAGAGGTCGTAGTCTTCGCAAGGAACGCAGGTAACGAATTCCTTCTCGGGAAGGACCTTGACGCAGCAGTTGCAGGTGCGGGTTGGCTCCTCTTCGTATGTGACGGACTGCTTCTCATCGGTAAAGGCACCTGGGATCTCCTGTTGTTGGGGCTCCTCGGCGTCGGCCTTGACCTTGGGTGCGATGCGCTGGGTGGTGCTGTTGACGACGCTGCCGTTCTTGACGAAACGCTTGACCATCCAGTGGCCGCTTCCGGGGCAGTGGATGCCGTTGTCTACGCAGGCCGGGCAGAGATCGTAATCACCACCGTCGCATACACTGCAGTGGAAGTGCTCGTCCTCCATGGGCTCGTTGCAGTTGTTGCAGTATACGACCCACGAAGTGCACGCGTTGCTCGGCTTGGGGCGGAATGCGAGACCTGAGTTGTAGTTCGCAGTTGCGAGGTTGTTGAAGAAGCCTGTACAGTGTGTTAGCCGATGATCGCGCGACATGGACATGTGGAATTGCTGCGTACTCTGACGAGCGGTGAAGGCCTGCGGTACGGGAGCCTCGCCGTTAGCATCTACCGTCGTTGGTGGCGATACAGGACTGGTGCTCTCGGTGGGCTTGATTTCTGGCGAGCGGGCAATGACCGGAGAGACGGGAGCGCCGCCCAGTGGAGTGAGAGTCTCGGTGCTGACGGGGTGGGCAGTGGGCTGGTAGTGTCGGACCACATGGTTTGGCGCGGGTGTAGGTGCGGGTGCAGCCACGGGCTCTTCGCCGGGGACGGTGGCCCTCAGACGCAACTTGAGCTTCGCCTTTGCGGCGCGGAAGAGCGTCTTGTAGACCTGGGGCTTGTCCGCGTCAAGGGTGACATACGACGCGGCTGAGTCGGAATAGCGCTCAAAGACGACCTGCTCGCCGGCTTCAAGCTGAAGAACACTGCGGAGCTAAACATCACATATCAAGTCAGCATCGTGATTCCCGAGC